CGCTTCATCGAGGAGGATGGCACATCACCTTCAACGTTTCTATGAGCAATGCGCACCCCGAGACCCCCCGCGTGAGCCGCGCGTCCCCGCCACGACGGCTACGATACCGCGGCGGGAGAGAAGCACCCGCATTCCGCACGGCGGCTGACCACGGCGATATGGAGTTCAGCTCGGCTGCCGCGGTCGCAGCTGCTGTTGCCCAGAACGAGGGATACAAGCCTCGCGAGGAGCGCGGGTGGGAGGAGTTCCACCCAAACCCTCGACATCGAGGCCACCTTCAAGGTCTTTCGCTCGGAAGAGGTCGACGGGCTATCTCAACAACCCGTGGCACCAGCGACGCCGGTTGCGCTGTCGTCATCCAACCACGCCTCCAGTACGCCCCTACGCGAGGTCAACCCCGAGTCGACAGGCAACACGCCGAACCCGGGGGCAGAATCTCAGCCCGGCGCGTCCGAATCACCCCAAAAGCGCCGCGCTACCCGTCCCACACGAGAATCAGCCTCTTACTTTTCGCTTCGGGATGTGCCCGCCGCGGCGGTGCCCAAGACACCCCAAGTCTTGCCCATCAGAAATCAGACGGCGAAGGAGAGGCTAGACCTGAAAGCGCCCTCGTATCGTCGATCTGATCGCGTCGTTCAGTTTGAAGGCAAGGGCTTTGGCCAGGCAAGATATGTCGACAAATCTATGATGAACGTGGGATACCAAGAAAGCGACCAGTACATCCGACCAGAGCGTAGAATGCTCAAGGCAACCGACGCCAATGTCGAGGACGACATGGATACCGCGCTCTCCATGAAGCCCGACGGCGAGCCGGCCGCGCCTCTCCTCACATCCGCTCCTGTGGGCCGTGTCGAGTACGATATGGACGAGCAAGATGACATGTGGCTCGAAGCTTACAATATTGAGCGGAAGAGCCACGAGCTGGAGCCCATCACTCGCGAGGTCTTCGAAATTGCGTTAACCAAGATCGAAAAGGAGTGGCACGCATTAGAGAAGCGTATTCCCAAGCCTAACCCGAAGCCACCACAGACGCACAGGCCGCGGTCGAGTTCAGCAGCAGCCGTCAACGGCGAACCGCAAGTGGGCGAAGAACAGGACTCAAAATGTGCCATCTGTGATGACGGAGACTGCGAGAACACAAATGCCATTGTCTTCTGCGATGGCTGCGACCTCGCAGTCCATCAAGAGTGCTATGGTGTGCCCTTTATCCCCGAGGGTCAGTGGCTCTGCAGAAAGTGCCAGCTGATTGGCCGCGGAATACCGGTAAGTGTCTGCATGGGCGGCGTCCGATAGAAGATGGTGGAGTCTGACAGCTAACGTTTGGTGTCTAGACCTGCATCTTCTGCCCTACGACTGATGGCGCCTTCAAGCAAACCAACTCGAGCAAGTGGGCTCACCTACTCTGCGCCATGTGGATTCCTGAAGTGTCCTTGGGCAATCATACCTTCATGGAGCCAGTCATGGATGTGGACAAGGTTCCCAAAACCCGCTGGAAATTAACGTGCTACATCTGCGATCAGAAGATGGGAGCCTGCATCCAGTGCAGCAACAAGTCCTGTTACCAGGCATTTCACGTCACCTGCGCACGGAGGTCAAGGCTCTTTCTAAGAATGAAGAACAGCCAAGGCGCGCTTGCTGTTCTTGACAACAGTATGATTCTCAAGGCGTACTGCGATAAGCACTGCCCGCCCGACTACACCAAGGAGAATGGCGTCGCTCAAGCCACGCGGGATGCGAAGCGGTTCTACAAGAAGACCATGAAGGGTCGCATCTGGGCCGACAACCAAGTTGTCGCGCACGCGCTGGCGGCGACTCATCGTCACGCCTTGACGGATCATGCCCCCGATGAAAGCCAGATGACTGGCGCGAAGTTGTCCCTGATGGGCGACAACAAGAAGGGGCAGCCTGGAAAGCCGATATGGAAACTTCCCTCTGGTGCGCCTGTCATTCCTAGGACCGTTTTCGACATTGTCGAAATGGCTCTCTCTCGGTTCCCCTTTAGGAAACGAAAGGATTTCGTCAGCGAAGCGTGTCGGTATTGGACTCTGAAAAGGGAGGCGCGTAGGGGTGCGGCGCTCCTGAAGCGACTGCAACTGCAGATGGAGACCTTCTCGTCCATGGAACTCACTCGTAGGAACTTTGCAGGCATGGGTCCCTCAGGTAAAACCAGGCTGCAGAGGCGGATCGAATTTGCTGAGACGCTGCTGCGTGATCTGGAGCAACTCAAGGACCTGTCGGCCCAGGTCGTCGAACGCGAGCAGCTCAAACTGGAGGCTGCTGAACTTGAGCAGGACTTTGTGGACACATGTTACTTTCCGGTGGCAAAGCTCTTCTTCCCGGTGGTCGAGAAGGCGCTCGCGTAAGTGATCCCCGTGATATTCACCTCACGTCTTTCTTATTGACGATGTGGCAGGCTGGACAAGGGTGTGTTCTACGACGGGCTGGTGAAGCTTCAGTCACAACTAGACGTTCGCTTCTACACGACGACATTAGCGTTTGCGCATGACCTATGCGAAGTCATCAGCGTGGGCATCAACACCGAGATCAAGAAAGTGGAGACGGCGGATGAAGAGCTCGTCGCTACCACGCTTGGGAAAGTGTCATACGAGGACCCGAGACAGAGGAAAACACTGGGGAAGCGCATCCTCAAGGCTGTTCAGCCACAGCTCGAGATAGCCCTTCGAACCGAGGCAGAGATCAGCTCCAAGCCACTTGATCCTTTGACAAAGGAGCTGGAAGGCATATTGGAAGCCAGCATCGAGTTCAAGTCTCTGTCGAATGACGATGGGGAGAAGACAATAGATGCTGACCACGATGTGGTGATGGCTGATGCTTCGATCGAGGAAATTACGGTTGCCAATGGCCACGTCGAAAAGATTAGAGCAGAAGAGGGTGGCGATGTAGATGCCATGGAGGTCGACGCTATTGGTGAAGAAGACGACGGCAGTATCGAGGTCGCCACCTCCAATATTGACGACAAGGGCAAGCTTCCCTCCTCCAGTTCGTCGGTTGCCGGCCTCGAAGGCAACGGCAAGGTCGCGGAGCAGGCTGATGCGGCTCTGACGAACGGCGTCGCGGGCGCTTCTGATACACCGCCCGCCTCCGATGGCTACCACAGCAACTCCGCGCCGGAGCAGCCGGCGCCTCCGACGCCGCCACAATCAATCGGGAGCCTCGGCGCGCAGTCTAATGACCCCCTGTCCGAAGGCGGCCTCGCATGGCACCTCAAGGACTTCAAGCTGCGAGGCACAACCATCCTTGCGGACCAGTGGCCTGGGCGCGACGCTATCCGCAGCCTCAGCGAGGAGCTTTCTGACATGGACGACCGTGAGCTTGAGGGCCTGGGCTTCGACGTCGATGACAGCACCATCACGGCATCGCCCAACGGCGCCGCAGCTAGCAGCGAGGTCATTGTGGACACAATCGTCAGCAAAGCCAAGGCGAGCACCCGTGTTCGCAAAAAGACGCGCAGCTCTACGCGCCGGCGATGAGCTGTGAGACGGCAAGATGTTCGCCTTGGGCATATTCTTCGGTCTCTGAACCCACCAATGACCCCGTTTTGTACTTGTATCTGGGCGAAGGTCAAGTTTCATCTTCGCCGAGGAGAAAGGAAGGGTTGCGCAGTATACCCCACAAGGGGATGAGTTTGTTTTCCCGCCGTCACCATTTCCTCCTTTCTATTCTTTTTCTCTCTCTCCTGCTTCTACTCCTGTTGTGTTTTTTCTTTTCATCCATATCACGGAGCGGCGTTCAGGCGAGACGCGAGGTACGGCCCCCTCCTTGGGATCCCCAGTCTTTGTCAGACCTTGGAGGGATGGAGATGGGCTCTTATGCAAACAGTGTCTTTGGTATCGTATCTTTTTTTTTTTTGCCC